AAACGTTTGACAATAAATATTGGTTCATGACTAATCATTGTAACTAAGATATTTTCTGTAGCAACTTACTTATATCAGAATCTTGCACAGTATTCGCATATAGTCCTCCAGCTGACCACTTTCCTATCCAATTCTCTTTGCCTAGCTCAAATCTGACAATCTGGGTCAAGCATCTCTCTCAGCTCCCTCAATATGGGATATGACGCGCCCATATCGCGCCTCCTCTTCATCCATTTGATGACATGCTGTGCTCTCCCATTCTTGTCTTCCACTCCACTTCGCTTTTGTAACCACCAAATGCCGATATTACAAGACTAGAATATGACAGACAGCCAGAGGGACTCCTTCCCAGCTCATCATATCTTGCCTCTGTCTCCTTCTCCTGATCCTTGAACTGTTCTCACTTCAGTTCGGCCGAATTAGCCAAACAACTCACACGCGGCATTGTGCCGTCATATGTGGTTCTTCCTCTTGGCCCCCACTTGTCATTAGGTAGGCACTTCAAGTCTGAAACACACACAATCTCTCTCTCTCTCCATCTGCATCTGTATTTATATGCACTAGTGTCAGTGTGATGGCAAAGTGCATCAAGGTGGGAGAAAAAACTGGCGTACAAGATGTGAGAGACAGGCAAAGGGTGCTTGAAGATGGTAGCAATGGGAGATAGAGATGAAAGAGTTCGACTGCAAGTGCTTCCATGGCCGGTGGTGCTTCACAACTTTTGGTTGCTTCAGGGTGCACTGTTGATGCTGCTATCTGAAGCTGCTGTTTCTGTGAGTTCAGAGTAATATGAGACTTGCTTTGTGCGTGCCCTGCAGCTGCTCCTTGTTCATGTTATTTAGTTCGTTTCGAATCAATGCCGCATATAGCACTTTGCACTGGCCAATGTTAAACTAGTGCTTGTTGGGCGGGATCTGTACAAGTAAAATTGTTATCCTTTGTTCCTACTCGTAAAGTTAGTACATTATTTTTCCTGCCTACTGCATGCTACTCCGTAGCTACCTGTGAAAACTGTACAATAAGAGCAAAATCGTAAGTTGTATTTGTGTGATGTTTATGGTCTTTCATTTGCTTACATGCATGACGTGGTTGACGAACGGAGGATTGTGACTTGTGAGTTTATTACGATGTCTCATCTCACCTTGCTTTATATATTATCAGTATATTGGCAAAAGAAAGGTCATATGAAATCAATCAAATCATAAATGGATTTCAATAAAAATAAAGGTGAATAGTTTAACAACTTAACACTGCACTTGAGCTACTCAAAATCCACACTACTTTGCTATTGACTTTTTATGATCTCTGAAGGCTTTGACCATTGCTTAGTTTTTCATTAGAAAAGGCTGTAACATTCAATAAATATATGATAACATAAAATAAAGTACAAGATGACATGACTTTTATGTCCAAAAACCAAGTAAAATCATCAAAGGCATTGAAATTAGACAATTCTTTTGAATATTTCGCTGGTTTATTTATATTTTTATTTGCGTTTGAATTTTACCATTTTATTCGTATTTTTAGAATATTGAAGTGAAGTTAAAAACTTTATTTGATTTTTTCCATTTATTTGAACATACTATAAGATTTTGGTGATGTTAGAATTTTATTATTTTAGTTTTTAGGTTGACTATGAATTTATTAGAATATGAAATAATTTTATATTTAGTTATAGTTCAAAGTGATAAATAGTTTAAAAAAGATTAAAAGAAATCTCATTTACTTTACCCTCTAAGGAATCTTTCCGGGCCTAAATCTTCACCCGAGATCCGTAAAACCCGCGTCATGCGCGAGAGAGTGAATTTAAAGTTCGAGAGAATGAAGGTGAGAGGCATTGGGAAAAGAAAAGGAGAAGGTAACAGAGACGCACGGTGAGCCCAGCCAGTTGAAGTGGGAAAGGCCACTTCAGTCGGATGCTTCGCTAGAGTACGTGTATAAGCGATCGATCGTCAAAATGGATTTGGTCTCTGACGGGCCACACAGACATGTTCCTCTCCTCCTGCGCCAATCATGGGGATTGAAGCAACGCACCGACCACCCTCCCGCAAGCCACAAGCGCGGGTGGAGCAAGGTCTAGGGGTTTATGATTCATATTGGGTTGTTCATTTTATTTATTTTTAATAATATAGAAAAGTGATTGTAAGACACCAAAATCGCGTCACCCATGTCCACTAAGGCACCAAATACAATATCTCGACATCATTATCCTTACAGTAATTCAGCACAAACTATAACTAAAGACCCAACATCTAAAATACAGAACAACATGAGAAGCAACAGCTACTATTAAAGTAGCATTTTTTGTTTTTTTGAGGAAAAGTAGCATTTTTTGTTATATCGTTTTTACCCAACATTTAATTTTTTTTCTTCTGGTTTCTAATTGTTTCCCAATTTATTTATCTTCATTAGTTTACTTTCAAATGCTCCCTTATCCTGATCCAATTTTTCTTTTATTTCCATTTATGTGTGATTTTCTCGTACATCATTAATTCATTGGGACTACTTTGTACATTATTATTTTTATTGGGCAATATTTTTCTCATAATGAAATGTAATTTTTTAAACGGAGCAATTTTTTTGTGAATAATTGTTCCTTTGATTGTTTAAATAATATCCATTTGATGTTTCATAATCTATTTTTTATATGCTTCATGATATTTTTGAGATTTTCCTTGATATTTTTAGTTTGTGTATAGTATTTATGATGCATTTTATTCTCTGAGCATTTCTGAAATTTTCAATGGTATATTTTGCAATAATCCTATAAGTAGTATGTTCCATAGTGTATTTTACATTATTCACTTAGTATCCATGGACTTTTCCACAATGTATTTTAGCTTACCCATGATATGTTCAACATAATAGCCACTATTTAAGTTGAGATAATATTCTGTTAATTTATCATACATGATTAATCCTTTATTGCACCTTAGCATTTATATTGATTTAATGTTGGACCAAGGATAATTAAATCCATCAAGAGTTTCATATTATCATTGGCACAAGTATCCCGAAACAAATTCTACGTTCTGCTTCCTTTTTCGTCATCAATGCTGCTAGTTTCATGAAACTAGTTTCATAATTGTTAAAACATAGAGAATGATTTTAGGTAAAACATGAAACTATTTTCATATTTTTAAGCTAAAGCAAATTTCTGATGAATTTTCTAACATAAATCCTAGCATTTTTAAATGTATATTTATTTTAGAAATATTTTTGGATAATTTGTTGAAAAAATATTTAAACAACTTTTATAAAGTCTATTTGACTTCCTCGAACTATCGTAAAGGTCCAATTTAATTCTCTCATGGCTAATGTGGCGCCACGTCAACCAAAACCGCTCAAAGATGTAAATCGAACGGTTTCAATAGTTTCAGGAGGCAAACATCCGGTTTTCTAGTTAAAAGAGATGTAAATCGGACTACCCAATAGTTAAGGGGTCAAGAGGACTTTTCCAAAGCAAAAACATATTTTTTTATGGAACAGGAGGGATGTAAACTCCTACTGAATTTTATTGAAAAATAAAGCCAAGAAGTACATGAGTTCACGAAACAAAAAAGGTACAGAAAAAGATAAAAAAATTACACGAAGGCTTCTAGCCATTGAGCAATCAAAGATATTTGGCCTTTGCTCATAGAATAATAACTAGAGCAAACTCTTTCTTAAAGACCACCTTGCAATGATGAACTGACGGCGGCAGATCATTGAAGATAGCATCATTACGCATAGTCCAGATGGCCCAACACATTGTAACAATCACTTCCATGAAGAAGGGAACCCGGAGCTGGGACCTTAAGCTGTGTAAGATGACCTCTAGGTCCATCGAATTGGGCACCAAAATATTTAGACTGTACCAGCAACTCACGGCAAAAGGACAGTGGAAGAAGAGGTGAAGGAGATCTTCTTCAATGCTCAAAGTACAAAAAACACAGTTACAGTCCTCAAGATGCATGTTCTTACGCTTTAAAAGAGCTCTGGTGCTCAACCTGTCCTTCTAAAGAAGCTAGAAGAAAAGCAAAAACGTATTCACTAGCCCAACATCAGTTTCACAAAAATATGGACTTTTGGCCTATTGGTCCTTCGATCACATCTATCTAGAAAAAAAAACTTGGACTTTATGCAAGTTATTCAGAGGATGGGTTGCTTGCTTTTCCGTGGTTCTCGCCTGTCGCCTTCACTGGCCACCTCTTCCACGCCACGCGCTGCCCCTCATGTTCCGTAGAAAACAAAAGGCTTTGCTGCCACACTTTTCTATGAGAAGTCATTGTGTCTGGCATGTATATAGTAATATGAAAACTTTTAATTGTTAGAAATCATTGCTGCGACCTGAATTAGGGGGTGTTTAGATACCACATCCTCAACTTTAGTCCCTGTCACATTGGATGTTTGCCACTAATTAAGAGTATTAGACATAGACTAATTATAAACTAATTATACAGATGGAGGTTAATTTGTGAGACGGATCTATTAAGCCTAACTAGCTCATGATTTGAAAATATGGTGCTACAGTAAATATATGCTAATAATAGATTAATTAGGTTTAATAAATTCGTCTCACGGATTAACCACGACTTATATAATTAGTTTTATAATTAACTCATATTTAGTCCTCCTAATTAATATCCAAACGTCGATGTGACCCAGACTAAACTTTAGCACAGGGATCAAACACCCCTTTAGTCAACCTGGTAGTACGACGCAGCGAGATAAATTAGGCTTGGGTATGTAAATTAAAACACGGCATTGACATAGTCAGACAGAGACAGACAACGATGCTATGCTATGTACGGAGTACTATGTAAACGCTTGTACACACGCGTTGTTCATCCTCAAGAACATCCCAAAATTCCGCACTAACATCATTACTCCAGAGACAATATATGGCAAAAATTGTCTGTTCTGTTGTTGCCGACGAGGCTGCCCGTAAATTCTCCTCGCTTCTATCAGGCGAAAATCGAGATTGGGAGAGTCATGAGGACAAAGTCGAGAGATTGGAAATGGCCGTGCTTAAGCTCCAAACAGTCCTTGCTGTGTCCGAAGATTATTTGCCTCTCACACACCGGCCGTTAATCCGCTGGAAGGCAAAGCTGAAGTGTGTGGCCAAGGAAGGCAAGGGTGTCCTGCGTTCTCACAAGAAACAAATCTTGAAGAGCAAAAGAAGAAACAAATCCATCTGGCAGGGCATCTCTCGAGCAGCTAAGTTCTTTGTGCCTTTTGTCTATGGAGCCGAAGAGCTGACTGTGGCTACGGTGAAAAGGTTTGAGAGGTTTGCGGATCATGCCAGCGACTTCATCAAGTTCGTCGAGCTTGGCGGCGGACGCTGCGCAAGGAGCTTGGTGTTGTCCCTTCCATCGCTCGCTCGATCTTTGGGCGCTGGGGAAGCAGTGGAGCATTCCCTACGGATACGGAGCGGCACAGCTGTTCTCTTGCTTCAGCCATGGTGGCTTGAGGAGCATGACGAAGGGAACACGAAAATAGCATTTCTATGGATATCCTATGACCACGACGTGGCGTGGGAGAAGAGTTTGAAGATGATGGTCGCTTTCTATCTATCTGATTCTGTGGATATCATGAGAGTCACTACGGACTGCGTAGATCTCCTGCCATCCCAGTTCTGCACTGCTCGTGCGGCCATGAAAGAACTCCTTGCTGAAATGGCCTTGCACGGACGAAGGTCTCCTGCTCCATCACCGCTTTATCTGCGCTTTGTTCGTGGTATCCAGAACAGTCATCGCTACGGCTTTGCGCTGAATCCACAGCTCAGATGTTCCGGTGGCAGACTGCAAGTGCTGGATCCAATCCTGCTGGCATGCGCCCACTTCTACATCGTGCCGACTGAGAAATCAAATCGTGCTGCTGCTGCTGCTCTTGAGCTTGTCTGGCATGCCTCGCCAAGCTACTTACCCAAGAAGCTCTCTGAACATCACGAGGTGGTTGGTTTGCAACAGATGGATGAAGATGTGATCCCCAAAGTTGCAAATGGATTCCATGGAGAAGAGGGTGCATTTGATCAGGATATGCAGTGGTGGTGTCCGCAGAGCTCAACGCGTCTATTGGTGGCCCTCTGCTTTCTCCACCCAGAACTCTACCACAATGGTGTGAAAGGCAAAAACAGGAACACTCGACAGGTGTTTCTCCGCCCACAACTCTTCCTACAGCTGGCCAGTTCTTTCAAGGATCCATCAAGAAATAAGCAAACTAGGCTGAAGTATCCTTTATTATAGATTTGGAGGCTCAACAAGGCTTTTGTTGTCTCTCTGTGTGGAAGTCAGAGTTACTACTTCGCCATGGTGCACACCGCAGTTATTCCAATGCTTTTTAACTTTTAAGTTGTTAGCTGTGCTCAATGTTGTTGAGTTGTTAGTTGGGTCATCGCTTCGACCAGATCGATTTGTGAGCAAATAGTGCTGTCTTGAGTTGTTAGTTGGATAGCAGTCGTTATGTTGTATCAAAGTTGTTTGAGAAATATATGGCGCAATAACATATCTTAATTTATGCAGTTTTCTTGTGTGCAAAATTATCAGATTTTTGAAACTTGTACTTGTTGCTTTGTTGAATTATGGAACTAAAAGCTCAAACTTAACTCACCTATCCCTTTTCTCCTATTAAAACCCCCTAGTTACCGGGTTGTATGTGTGATTGTACCATCCAGCTAGCTGAAAACTAAGTCAAACAGGTGACGTTTTTTTTTTTTGAGGGAACAGGAGGGGTCAAGGACCCCTACTGGAAGTTTTATTAAACATAACCAAGAGAGTTACTCGAATTACAAAGATTACAAAAGGAAGCAGAGAAATTCAAGAAATAAAGAAGGAAACAAAAAAGATGAGGGAAATTACACAAGCTGCTCTAGCCATACTTCAATTTGGGGGGAAATATTTCTTCTTTGTGCTCCACAATAGTAGGGCAAAGACTGTTCTGAAGATCTCTAGGCACCGCTTATTGCTTTCCACAATTCCCCTAAAGATAGCTTCATTCCTAACTGTCCAAATGCTCCAGCTGGCATGTCGATCATTCGTTTCCTACCTTGGTAAGTGTTATCGGTTTTGCTAATTTTCGTGCCCGTTTAGTGAAGTGCTACAACGTTTTGATGTTTTAACAGTTATTTCACTAGGGGTTTTAAAATACGGGGAAATAAAAGTTATCACATCCCTGAACACAAAATTTCAGAAATTTCAAAAACACCAGTCAACTTCTAATAAATTTCAGCATGATTTCGATGGAAACTTCACCAATCGATCATATATGCACAATTGTGTATGACAATAAGAAGTAACACAATTTATCATAATAGTAAAGCATTGGCAATGTGGCGTACAGACAGCGAGCGAGCTAGCGCAGCTGAGGTGCACTGCTGTACCAAACATTTTAATTTCGGAGGCAGATATCTTAAATTTAGCTCTGTCAAATGGTTGTCTTCCAATATTGGAACCTACGATCTTCAGCACAAACAACACCTCTCTATCATTACATTGCGCACTTATTTGTGAGTATATATAGGATGCTATCTTTTTTATCAATATTTTGTAATCTTGTAATATATTTCAGCCCATAATAAGTTATTTCAAATGAAAAAGTTTCAGTTATAAAGTTATAGATCTTATCGAGCTCTATAATTTTGATAATGGCTATGTCTAGTTTGAAAATAAAAAAAAAATTGATTCTCAAAACCCGAGAATTTGAAACAAATATTTGGGACTCTATGTGTTCTCAAATAAAAACTTTTGTCAACTGCAAAATTGTAGATTGCCTTGACAACTACAACTCACTTCACGTGTTGCACAAGTTTTCTATATGTCTGACCCACAAAGTAACCTCCCCCCGAAGAAGAAGACAAATCATTTGGTTGCCTCCGGGAAACAACACATTATCGGAGTTGATGGCGTGGACGATGTTGAAGCTTATAATAACTACAATGAGATGCCGCTATTCACAGACTTTCCTAAGAAGATCAGTGTTGTGGAAAAGAACCTACCCAAAGACATATTGCCATGGGAACGAAAATGTGTCAATGGAAAAGTCGTTACAGCGGACTAGCTAGTTGTTGAACGTGGAGTGTTTGTGTAAGTGTGTGTTTGTAAGACTTCATTTATGCATGCATGTGAGACTATATATTTATGTATGTGTGTAAGACTATATGTTTATGTATGTGTGTGAGACTATTTATGCATGTGTGTGAGACTACCCTTTGCAACATCCAGATAAATCTATTTCAACATCCACCCTATTACTACTAAAACTTTATGAAATCACTTAACACTTTATGAAATGAAGAAATGACCAAAATAAAAGTTGGAGATCTTGATGAGTTATACAACTTTTATATTCATGACCTTTACAGCTGAAATCATTTAGTTGTTGAAAATAAGGTTTAAAGTTTTTATTTTCTGAAATTCAAAATTTAAATTGTCCAAAATTAGTGACAAAGATACATGACCAGACTAAAATGATAGAGCATGATTTTAGAAAATTTTATGAAAAAACCCATCACATTTGGAGTTAGTATGTGGGAGAAAAACTAGTTACAAGTTTCAGCCACAGATAAAAAAGAGAAATCACACTTGTTCATCATTGATCGTCATGAACAGTTGTGATTTTTCTTTTTAATCTCGGGGTAAAATTTGTAACTAGTCTTTCTCCTTCATACTAATTCCAAATGTGAAGATTTTTTTCCTAAAATTTTCTAAAATCATGCCCTATCAAATTACTGTGTTGATTTTGTCAATCTTTTCGTTTGACAAAGTTTGAGCAATTCAAATTTTTAAATTTAAAAAAAATGACAATTTTAACAAGATTTTGAAACACCAAATGATTTCAGCTAAAAAAGTGATGAATATCAAAGTTGTATAACTCATCAAGATCTAAAACTTTTATTTTGGTCATTTCTTCATCTGACAAAATGATAGTAAACATTGTTCACAAATCAACATATCTCTCGTATAGTTTATGAAACTATGAGTGATATGTGGATTTATGAACAATATTTACTAACACTTTGTTAAATGAAGAAATGATCAAAATAAAAGTTGTAGATAGTGATGAGTTCAACAACTTTTATGTTCATGACTTTTCTAGTTGAAATCATTTAAGGTTTCAAAATCTTGTTTGAAGTTGTCATTTATTAAAATTCAAAATTTGAACTATTCAAATTTAGTCAAATTAAAAGATGATCAAAATAAAAGTTATAGATAGTAATGTGTTCAACAAATTTTATTTTCATGACTTTCTTATTTGAAATCATTTAAGGTTTCAAAATCTTGTTTGAAATTGCCATTTATTGAAATTAAAAATTTGAACTTTTCAAATTTTATCAAATGAAAAGATGACCAAAATATAAGTTGTACATCTTAATGAGTTCTACAACTTTGATGTTTACAAAATTTTCATTCGAGGTCATTAGTGTCCTAAAATTCTATTAGTTGTTTTGAAATTCAAATTTTAAAATTTTAAAATATTATTTTTGTAAAGAAGAAAATATAAAATTATATCTATATATATAATAAAATTGTTTATATATACATATATTTATATATATAGAATAATAAAAAAACTAATATATAAATTTACATTGTGTTCTTTGTATATGAATGAATTACAGAATTAGTAATTAAAATAAATTAAAAAATATTTGTAGGGACGGCTAACTCAGGAACCGTCCCTACAAATCGATTTGTAGGGGCGGCTAACTCAGGAGCCGCCCCTACAAATGCCCTCTAGTATATAAGCCAAAGCCCGCGGAAGGACAAAAACATTCTATGTCAGGGCGCGATTCTTCCTTTTAGACGTCGTCAGGCTGCCGAACCCGCCGCCGCCGCCACCGTGCGTGCTTCCTCTCACCTCTGCCGGCCCGTGCGCGCTCGGCCGTGTGCTCTGGCAGTCCTGCCCCGAGCTTCCTTGGCTCCGTCTTCCTTGGCTCTGTTCGCCGCTGGGACCCGCTGCGGAACCCTAGCCGTGGGCGACGCCGTTCCCCCTAGCGGCTAGGGTTTTCGCCGCCATGCTCTCCGGTGTCCGCACTCCCTCCACCGGCGGCCCCGGTGCTGGTGTGCCTAGGCGTCCCTGCTCCCTCCCCCGGTGGCTCTGGTACCCGTGCACCCCGGTGTCCACGCTCCCTCCCCCAGGCTGCCCTGGTGCCCTGGTGCCCGTGCGCTCTCCCTCCGCCGGCGTCCCCGGTGCCGGTGCGCCCCGACGTCCCTGCAGGTAAGCTCCAACCCCTTCTCCTCCATTCTTGCTCCACCACCACCACCACCCTTTTTGTCATCCTTGCACATATCCAGTGTACCGTTCTGATAGATGCTATGTTTGATTTCGTTCAGTTTTTGGTCCAAAACACATCCAATTGGCCATATTTTAGTCCTCTTTTGTTTGCTGCTATGTGTGAACTTTTCTATTTGGTCTTTCATTTAGCACCAATCTGAAAAGTATTCCTAGTCAATAGCTAGTGGAAATAGTCAGGTCTAAACTGCAGTAGATATGCTGCCTCATAGTCATAGCTGTGTTTCAGCATGGTTGGATTCTACATACTCGACTCATACACTTGAGTACTTGACTACCAGTCAGCTCTAGGATTAAGAAAATAGCCATTACCTTGTCATTTTTTTAAAGCTACCTGGGTTGGTTGGAACATTTCCCGCCTGTGGGGTACGAGTCTCGAAACAAAAGCTATTTACTTGGCATTAAGACATTTCCTTTTCCGCATGACACATTAGATGTGGCCCTATTTTCCTTGGCAGCCAAACAGCCAAGGAAATGTATTTCCCTTGCCCTATATTTTTGGTGGACTTTGCTGATGGTTTCCCACCATGAGCTATTTCCTTTATGGTTTCCCCGCCTTGAGCTATTTACTTGGCTGTCTACAGCCCTCAAGGTAATTCAGTTTCTTGGTAGTGTGTGTCCATTCCAATTGAAGCATGTACATAGCTTAAGTAATTTTGTCATGAACCATCTTTGCTTTTAGAAGGTGTTTGAAGCAATAATGTTAGCAGAAGTCTTCATATTTATACAACATGTTATAGGATTTCACATTTCTATAGGCAAAACTGGATTATTTTCATCTAGCAGATATAGAGCAATGGCATTTTTTATGTTTTAGTTTCTTGAGATGATAAATTCAAAACAGGACATTCATTGGGATGACAAGAAACATCTTAATTAGTTCAGGTCGTTTCATTGAGATTCTATAGCTTTTTGCCTATATTGTAGAGTAATTTCAAAGTGCTCATTCGAGATC